CTGGGAAGGAGGAGGTAGTGCGGAGAAGTGTGCTTGCCTCCTAAATCCATTTTTGGATGCAGCGGTGTTGCTGTAGGAGACGCAGTCTCTCTCCCGTTTCTAGACCTTCAGATGTAAAGGCGCGTGTTCTTTTCTCGCTTTATGTGTCAGAGTATGGTAGTCCGTCGCCTACATTTATGCAACCATAACCATTTGTGCTTGACAAACAAGAAAAAACGAAAAAGTCTAAATGAGCACTGTCGGAGGTGTCGTCTTGGGAAGCAATAGGCTCTGTCCTGGAACAGGGACGATGACGTGGGCATTATGACGTCTGTTCAGGTTGTTTGTTTTATATGAATACGTCTGTCGTGTGTCTCCAGAGGATGCGGCTACTATAAAATGATGTACAGAGAAAATATGACACAAATAAGCACAAATAGCCGTCGGGGAATGTAGCACACATGTACCTGTCGTATCCACCGCCTCATTCGCTTTTACGGAGACTAGACGTACCAGAATCACACGGGCACTTGAGCGTAATTCTTACGTGCCAGATCAGCTTGCATCATGGGTGAATCTCACGAACATGAAGCCTGTTTTAAGAGCCGTGTGATAATTGAGCACATTTTTGACATTTGGTCAATCCATCTCGAGTGGTCCCGAAGTTGAGTGATTGCCTCTGTCTATTGGTATCGCAAGACACCAGTTTTGTACTTTTTATTTTACTTCGTTTAATCACTGTGGTCATGTTTGTGCGTGTCATGGCGCACAAAAAATTTTGGGTCGTTTATGGAAACCTCAGTATCTTGAAAAATCACAAGACTGGTCTCTTTACATTCAGAGCAGCATGACGAGTCATATCGTACCCAATATTCCATGTCGGCAATTTTGGGCATCTGCCATTTCGAATTTTGACAAAAAAAATTATATTTTTTCGAATGCATTGGTGTATTGTTATAAAACGTGGTATGTGTCTTCGACACAATTCCCTGAAGGTACTCAAAATGTTTTGTGGCAAACATTATAATGAAATTTTAAAAAATGTTAATAGCTTTTGGTTAATTTTGCCTATTGTCATGAGACTTATCTTGATAGATTCCTTGATAGAACGTCTTTTCCAATTATGCCAAACTTCCTGTCCGCCATTTTGATTTGTTGAAAACCTACTTTTTCAAACTTCACTTAGACCGTTGGTCCGATTTTCACCAAATTTGGCTCAGATCATCCTCAGACCATAATGGCAAAAATGTATGAATTTCGTGTCGATAGATAAAATGGTTTTCGTTTAACGCACCAACGAATTTGATGCCAAACTGCATCTGAGGCTGTATCTCTGCAAAGCTTTGA